CTGCTCGTTGTATCTGCCTTATTATACGATTACGTAGTCCTTATTTCGCCGATGCCCTCGCAGACTGGAGAGAATCTGCCAAGGTGTGACGCCTGCTATCCTACCGCTACTTTATCAAGCCAAGGATTGCCTTATCCCTTCGGATCTTACAGTATTCTTACCTTCTCCCTTCTCCTCGCGCGTATTGCATACTGCGGCAGATTACACGGTTCACCTCCCGTAATTCCCGACGGACCGACTCGAGCCGGCAGCCTCGGAGAACCGGCGTCCACCGGTGGTACGCGGCACGTGATAAATCGCGACGCGTCCACGGCGACGTTCAGTAGCCTCCTGATGGCTCGCGTTCCCCAATTTAAGCGGTATTCAAGACGACACAAAGAGCCCGGTAGCTCATATGTCATCGCGCGCCGTGGCCTACGTCGGTCCGGCTCCACCGCTTCTTTTGTCGAGATACGCCACGGCCTGGCAACACAGTCTCGCGGCTCAGATAGACCCGTGAACGGCGCGCGCGCGCGGGAGTACCGGCCGCACAGGCGAGGCGCAAAGAAGGCGCGAGCGAACGCTAATTGATGTTACTGACTCGCAGTGACCCGCCGTGTCGACGCGTCGTGTGTGGCCGCGACTGGACGTACTTACCGGCGTTAAACGACCGTCCCCCGTCTTGAATCCGGCCGCACAATTCACGCACGTGTGAAATTGCGCGCGACGCCAGCGAAAGTTCGCGATTCGGCACGGTTATAGTCGCGCCCCGGCGCGACGATTAGCGCCGAGGTGGAAGATGCCGCGTCAGTCTCGTAGGGAACGAGAGGATGATTCTTCACCGATTACACATATCCGACGCGGCGAGAATCATTCCTTCCCCTCTTTCCTCTTCCTACTCTCTTGATTTTTTTCGCTCTGCATTGCCGTCGGAACGAGCCCGCTTCCAAATGACCGTGCGCGTGGCCGTGCGGTGCAACACAAACCGCCGATGTAACGACGGCTCGGACGAGAGAGAGAGAGAGAGAGAGTGTCTAGGCGCGATGGATCGCAGCTGTCGGCGAGCGGGACGGTACCCGAAAGTCGGCAGCTAGCCGAATCTATGCGCGAGGCCTGTTATTACTTTTTACAGCACCGGCACCGGGGAGAGAGAGAGAGAGAGAGAGAGAGAGGAAAAATGAGAAGCGACGGTGGAGGAGAGGGATAGATACGGGGGTAGAGGAGGGACGCGCCGCGTATAATTTGACGCTTAGCGACTTAAACGTTTTGTCTGTGATCACTGCGACGCATCTATAATCTTACACGTGGTCGGCCGGTCGGTCTCTCTCTCTCTCTCTCTCTCTTTGCTTCTTCTCCTCCTGCGTTGCACGCACAGCGGCCAAAACGCAGCTGCCTCGATTGGAGGTGAATCCCTGCGCGACGTGGCGGACGGATTCCCTCTTCTCTTCCGCCCCGCTAACCCACCCTTTCCGTCGTTCATATCCTTTTTCACCGCCGGCGCTCTCTACGCCCGGTGTGTGCCGGCGCTATCGCCGGTGAAAATCAGGACCCGGGTCTATTCGTAATGGGAGTAGCGTTTTGGTCGTGTTCGAGCGGTCCGCCAGACTCCCTCGGATGGAAATGGAAATCAAATTACCGGGCTAGGTGCACCAGTGAACGACCGGTCTCGCCGAGTGAATGACCACTGAATCTACGCTTATCTCCCTCCCTCCCTCGTCGGGCACGAGAGAGAGAGAGAGAGGATCGATAGTTCGGACGAATGAGAAGCTACGGTTTTCTTGTCTCTTGTTGCATCGCCGAGATAGTTGTCGCTTCTTCGCGATATTCACGGCGTTACCTAGTAAGCGATATCTCAGATTGGTAGAAAAAGAATCTTTAATTTTAAAGAATAAAATTAAAGTTAAAATCGCACACTGCTCATCCCGAATTCTTCTTGCAAATCGATACGGCTATTCTCCCCGTGCCGCACGGGGGTTTTAGATCGCCGAAGGACCTCTCGGCGTTCCCGCGCAGGCAAATGTAAATCCCCGTGCCGACCCGTTCGCCGTCGTGAGGTCCCGCCGGTCGAAAATAAGCGCGGCGCCTACAAATTTACCTCGAACGTCCGTCCGCTTTCCGGAAAGCGGCCCACGTCGCTCCGCGGCATCGTCTTCGGGGTATCAGCGACAAAAACATCCGGGGGTCCCGTGAGAGACCTCGGCCGCCGTCGGTCTCGTGTCGTTCCGTGCGCTATGGATGCGCCGGGGACGCCGGGGAGACTTGGCTTCCTCGCGACCGTTGGCGTGATATCCTTTTTCGACAACGACCATCCTCGAACGGCCTCGGTATCACACGCTTCCCCCCTCACCCCTGCACCTTGCCTACCAGTCTACCTACCCCCCAATCGCTACGCAGACCCGAGTTCGGCGTAAGTGCGAATTCCTCCTTTTTCTCTCGTTTCCTTTCGTTGGGCGGACGTGATTACTGGGAGGCCGAGGAGTTCTAAGCTCCTGCCCGTTCCTCCGGAGCACGGACATCTTTGTGGAGGAGGAGGAGGAGACGAAGAAGCAGGAGAAGAAGAAGAAGAAGAGGAAGAAGTGGTTGTTGTGATGCTGCGAAGAGAAAGAGCGAGAAGGATGCGGGGTAGCGGCGGAGGGGCCAGGGCGGCAAGGCGGCAGCGATCACGGCGGAGGGACGGGGGTGTACAAGAGCAGAGGTTACTTTTAATGTCTCGCGTCACGCAGCCCAAGGCACCGTGAGCCTCGCCTCGTCCTCCTTACTAATTTGGCGCCAATTTCCAGGCAACCTCCCGAGCAAAAACTAACCGAACCATATACCGCTCCCTCCTACCCTGCAGTATATACGTACACGTGTACCGTGCACTTCGACGCGGGGCTCTGATTAAATGCTACTCCGCCGAGTCGTTCCCTCTTCCTTTTCCTTCTTCTCGCGATGCCCTCCTCCTCGTGTTCCCCGGCCCGCCGTGAGTCCCCCTCTCTCTCTTTCCCTCTCGCTCTCTCCTTCTTTCTCCCTTCCTCTCGCGCTTCTCTCTAACAACTCTCGTCCCTCCTCACCCTTCTCCTTCTCTCTCTCTCTCTCTCTCTCACTCTGTCTGTGTCTCGACGCGGCGCGGTTTCCCACACTGCACGGACGCGTACACGATGTGATACGGCGGTTGCTGCAGCACCGCGTTCGTCCACGCCGCGTCGCGCAGCACGTGTGCGTGCGGCGCGTATGTACACGCGGACGAGGTGTTCCTTTGGCCGCGCCGCTTTCCATCACGCTCTCCCGCGTCACGGATCACCGTTCGTCTCGGCGGGCGCTCGTCTTCGGCAACCCAGGCTGTCGTGGAAAAAATCCGCGATCCGTCATAATGCGTCGCGAATAACATTTCCCTCCGACGCCTCTTCCTCCCCTTCTTTTCCCTTTATTTCTCATTTTCTGCTTCTTTTTTCCCCGTTTATTCATTGTTTTTTTTTTTTTTTTTCTTATAACGCGTCCGTGTAGGAAGTCACGATCGGTGGTATTCCTGCGCGCATTCCTGCGGGCACGTAGTTGCGTTAACAACTACCGAGCCGTCCGGAGTCACCCGCTGCAAGGTGCGCGATATTACAGCGTCTCTCTCGGGGTTCCCACGCGAGCCGGAGCTCTAAGCGCCGGAAGGGCGAGTACGCGCGCTCGTCGCCCGTTCACGAGCACTCGTCGATAACGTCGATCCGGGTGGGTTATGCAAATACAAATCTCAGCGGGCGTCACTTTAATGGCGGGGCGAGCGGGAGGGCGGCCAGCGCGAATAACGCCGAGAGAGGCGAAGTGAGGCGTCTCCACGCAGCGCGCCTTCGGAGACGCCGGGCTACGAAGTCAGGCAGAGTCTCAAGGTAGGCAGTCAGTCAGTCAGTCAGTCAGACTGCCGGTCAGGGAGAGCGGTCGGGACCAGGTCGGAGGTGCGAGAAAGGGAGAGAGAAAGGAGAGGACGAATTAAAGCGAGGAGGCGAGAGGGCGAGCGAGAGAGCGAGCGAGCAAAGGGGAGAACCGTGGCTTGGCAGGCATCCACGGGCAGTATATCACGTGGGCAAGGATAAGTTTTTGATCGGGCCTCGCTATACGGATGACTCCCTGCTGCTTGACCTCATCACGCCACGCTATGGGGGTCTTTATAAACCACCATCGACTGCGCGTATCCTAATCACCTTTTGTCTTAAGCCTGCCAAACTCTTTCTCCGAGAAAGGCCGGCGCGCAGGCTCGGCAGTCGAAGACACATATAATATCATCCGTCACCACCATCGAACGGCGCGAATTCGCGGAACGGACTGACGATGGTCTTCTGGTGTACGCGAATTTTCGCAGCCCGAAGAGCCACGTCGACGGGGGGGTTGCGTGAAAATTCCTTCTTTCACCTGCGGGTCCGATCCCGCCTGCAGATATTTCGATCGCTTTTCGGTCGGTTACGTTGCTTCTTTGTATCGACCTATCGCGAAGTGTCGTAATTAATATCTCGGCAAGGCGTGAAGATATTCCGATGAGGGTCGCACGAAAATTCGTGCGTCTCGCCTTTAAATTCGATTCTGCTTGCGGAAACTGCCGTTGCACGATTAGTTGAAGACGTTTCGCTTTTTCGCCGATCTAATATGAAGTTGGTTAATTTATATCGTCACGGATATGTCTTTCTATATTTCACCGTATATTCCGCAAGAATTTTGTGCACACGTTTTCTCGCTTCCGGACGTCATTAATCAAAATAGCTACGGCGAGAAAACAGGAGCCGTAATTTGCCATGTTTCATATAAATTTGCTCAAAAACTCGTTTACTTTATATAATTTTTTGTATTTGATGGGAGTCTGTTTATACTCGACGGACGCGTGTAACTCAGTTTATAATTCGCTGGACTGATGGTTATTGGTTCGACCCGCTTTTGACTTGTTTCGCTTCCCACGATGGTTGTCAATACTCAATCACGAATGTGTGGTTGTAGGTTACGCTTTCCGATCGATTTAATAATAGTTGTTATTCTCTAATTATATTGCGTGCCACTTCGCTTAAATGAATCGAAATAAGACACCATGCTGGGTGCGCGGCAGCAAAATCGAAGAAATAGTTTGCATCGGCAAGGACGTGCTTGCCTGGTGCATCGGCTTGTACATTGTATTCTTTCACGTGGCGAAGAGACGACAGACACTGCGTTGGTGCTGGAGCCAGGTTACCGGCGACGGTGCCCATCGGATATCCGGACACGTGTCCTTGCCGATCTTCGCCTTCTCCGAGAGATCGTTGAACCCGCGTATCTTCGTCCTCGCGTATCCTGCGATGAAGAAGATCTGCGAGTGCGTTCAGGGCTGCGTCAGTCGCTACCTGGCGATTGCGTTCACGTCGAACGACCACCTCGTGTCGTTGGGCTCTTACCCGGATTTCCCGTTGATCGTGTGGTGCTGGCGAACGGGTGAGAAGATCATTGTCATGGATACACCTGTGCGCGACGAAGTCGGCCAGACGATCAGAGTAACCCCGGCGGGTCGCACCGTTGTCGCTCAAGTAGGCAAGACCTGCGGCAAACTACTCACCTGGGAGCTCGATATCGTCGGCAAACTTGTCATTTTGAAAGGTGCGTGGGATATCTTGTTCTGAAACCATTCATGTCTGCGTACGCAGAAATAAATACTAGATTCCAATAATAAATAACTACTCCAATACTCCTCAACGAATTCTTATTCGGATCAAGTAATATCTACTTGATACGAAAACCAAGTATTTTCCAAATAAATAATTCCAATGACGTGACTGGTTCTCTCCTGCGCCAACTGAGGACCCTCTAAAGTAGCACGTTGTTTCCACAAATATACTCGTGTCTGTCGCGAAGATCACGAAGTGAAACTACCGGACGACGCTGTGATTCACGGGGTCGATTGGTGTCCCGTACGGAGCGATCCGTTGTTGGCTATCACGGACAGAGACGGACACATATACCTGAGCAGCTACGACGGCACCGACGTCCGTCGCATCGTCGTCTCGCAGCGTTGCGGCATCTGCTTGGACATCGAGATGCCGGCGATCTGCTGGTTCCGAGGTGGGATCGTCCTTCGAACGACCTTCTGCCAGATCCGCTACTTTCAGAGGGACCCGAAGACCGACTTCTGGCGCAAGCAGTGGTACATCAAGTCGACCAGCAAGCCGTACATCTTGGCCACACATCCTTTCAAGGACGATTGCCTCTTCTACTATACCCTTGAAGGTTATCTCATGCAAATGGTTTTCTCCGAGGACGGGAACGTCACACCGAGTATTCAGAGACACCTGCAGAACGGCGGTATATACCGCTTCGTCGACTTCGTGCGGCCCTGGTGTCATCATCTCGCGGTGACGAACGATCTCAAGGAATTGACCATCCTCGAGAGCTACAGCGGCAGCGAGCTCGCCAAGGTGCAGCTCGATATGGAAGGCGATGTATCCGAGCAAGCCGCGCATCCCGACGACCCGTTGATCGTCGTCGTCAGCGATCAGGGTGAGATGGTGATATTGGGTGTCGCCGATCCGGAACAGCCGACGATACTCGCGCGTTTTCGTCTTCAGAGGAGACCCTTGAATCTCGTCAGATTCTCGCATTCCGGCGAGTAAGCCTCGAATCAATTCTTTGCATCGTGTTTTGTGCAGAACGTATACCTAAACGCGTTAAAACATTACAATGTTAATAACAATCCAAAAATCGCAGGAGTAACTTGTCATTCCCTCGCTTCCCCGCTATGTCAGCATTAATTTTATTAATTTCACTTTATTATTAGATACTTTTTTCTCTCGATGTTTAGCAGAGCTCCATGATCTCTCTCTCTCTCTCTCTCTTTCTCCTGTACTCGGATCTAATTCACCGGCGAGAGAAACACGCGGCCTTTTGCGCGCGGATTACACGCCTCTCAGCCGCTTTCGATTTATCTCCCTCGGCAGATTCCTGATCGCCGCGCACAAGGAGAGGGGTAATTGCTATTGCGTAAACCTGCGGCGCGACAAGCCGTGGAGTGTGACGGCCCAGGTCAGCTTGCGCAATCGTATCATCGACATCGCGTTGTACGACGACGACGCGTCCGACAACCTGAAGATGCTCGCCCTCTGCGTCACGCATCAACGGTTCAACACGGGTCACCAGTTCCACGTGGTCGACGTGCCACGGCGCGACACGCTTCGCCTGATCGACACGGTCGGCGACGCGTTCCTCACGCTGCCCGAATTCTTTTACCAGCTGCGATACGCGCCCGGAGACAAACCCCGGATGCTGATCGGCTCGCCCTACTTCGGCCGGTGGCTGCACGCGTTGAAGCTGCACGAATTCAAGAGCGCGACCTTGGCGGACTCGGCGCTCACGGGCCACCACGTGCGGCGCGTGCACGTCTTCAGCGACCGACACTGGCACACCACGTGCGCGTACGATGGATTGGCGATAGTTCGCGGTGAGGTGAGCGAAATCGTCGCCGTGGTGCCGGCTCATCACAGACTCGACTCGGGCAGTCGCAAGGCCATCGTCACCCCCGCGGCCGACAGGGTGGTCGTTCTCGGTCGTGACGGCTCGTTGATTGCGATTCGTGTTAACAAGGTGTGCGATAACAAGAGGGTTAATCGTCCCTCCTTCGCGTTCTCCTCGATACACTTGGTATCGCCTGCTGTCTCAGTGGTTACTCCTTTTTTATGGACATCCGTTTTCAGTACAGGAGAGAGAAACGTTCCCGGCGATTGGCGCGGAGAACTCCGTGTATCCGGTGGAGCACGGCTGGCGCGAGAAGTGGATGCAGAGGATCCTGCAGGACTACGCCGGGCTGGAGCCGGCGACTCGCGCCTCCCTGACTCGAGCCCGAGGAGAGTTGCCGGAGAACGGCGGGACGTGGGAGGAATGGCGACAAGACGCGTGGGTGCGCGAAGAGGCGACGCTCTACGCCGCGGAGAGGGCCTCGCTCACGAGGAAGCTGACGAGGCTGAAGGACACCGTGAGGCAGCTCCTCGACGCGAACGAGACGCGTCCGGAGGCGGAGAAGCTGCCGGTGTCCGCGTTCGACGTGGACCGAGCGGGTCGCGACCAAAAGCACAAGGCGGCCAAGGACGAGCGCGAAGACGTCCGCATGGAGCTCGAGCACATGCAGGCCTCGAGCGATCGCGTCGCCCGCTGGATCAAGAAGACCTTCTGGGATCGGCAGGTCGTGCTGGGTCGCTCGATCTTCTCCTTCTGCGGCGACACGGAAGTGACGAATTACCCGTCGCTCGCGGAGGAGCCGCATCTCAAGGTACACCTGCAATGGGCGCAGTTCAGCAGGGAGTTCGCGCGCAACATCATCGACGGCGACACCTTTCAACCGTGGCGCGTGTACACGGACGACAAGCTCCGGGCGGAACTGAGCAGACCCGCGACGGTGCGACGCAGAGAGGAGGAATACAAGGTGGAGGTGCTCTTCGAGGAAGAGGAGCGCGAACTCGATCGCCCGGAGCTGACGGAACAGCCGGCTTTCGACGGTAGGACGCGATGATTTTCGGTTTTTTCGGGAATTCAGTTTTTTTCTTCTCTCTCAGCGGTTCGGAAGGGACCGAATCGTGCGGTCGAGCCGTCCTCTATCGCGACGTTTCCTCTTCCCGGTTTCTAAGCCGGTTTTCCTTTTGCCCCGCGTTCGTTCGCAGGTATGACGACGCACCGGTTCGTCGAGCAATCGCCTCACTATTACGCGCAGATCGAGTCTTACGGATTCGTGCAAGCGACGCTGGACGATCGGTATCTGATGGACGACTGCGGCAAGCTCCGCGCCTACTTCAACAAGCTCTTCGACGACATGTACGCGGCGAAGGAACAGGAAATGAGCGCGATTAGAGAGAGGAACGAGAAGATACATCATATAGATTCCGAGCTGAAGACCATGTTCGGCCAGAGTTTGCCGTACGTTCCCGACGATCCGCAGTGGCATCCCAAAGTAAACGCGCGACGCGAACATTGTTTCAATCGAGCGTTCCTCAAGCTGAAGACTTGACCGAATCACTGATGTCACGATACGAAATAAGTATTTAAGATTATTCGCTCAAATTCTTTGATAGTGATGAGGTTTAAGAAGTTGTTCATAAATGGGGCGCGTCTTTCGTCTAAAACTGGCCGAATTCATCAAGTGTGAAAATTATCGAGGTTTTATTACAAAATTATCATACATTGTTTTTTACCTTGAAATCATTGATATTTACCGAGGATTAAAATGATCGAATCAATGAAAAAAAAAAAGCTCCTTTAATTCAGTTGGAAGAAACTCGAAAATAACAATAATCTTCAGATAAAGGTATAACTTTTTCGGATAGTTTTGAAATACATAAAGACCCAAGTTTAACATTTTAACGCTCAATAAGTATCTCATAAAAACGTTTCGACCGACCGAATAATCTCCCCCGTGATCTCGTGCCGTAATATACAAACGCTCGATTGATAGGAGGAACTTACAGGAGAGTGTCCATGAAAGATGTAACGCAAATGCGATATCGATTAGGAGAAAGTAGAGGGCATTATCCAAGTGTACGACTACGAAGTCAAGGCGAAGCCGTACTTGTCGCCGTCGCTGCTGTCCCTTCTGAGGATGATAGAGACCGCACCAGCCAGGCTGCTGGCGGATAATTTTCACGAACGCGCCTTGATGAAGATGATGGACGGCGTGCTGGAGGTCCGATGGGAGGATACCATCAAGATGGACGTGCACGAACCGCGGCGCATGCTGGAGAAACAGCCGGAGCAATATACACCGGCCGACATCGCGGCCGTGAAGAAGTACAAAGCGGACGTGGAGGCCTTGCGACAAGAACGCGAACGTTACCGGAGGTTACTCGAGGCCGATCACGCGAAGACCGTCGCGCAGCTGCGGAATAGCATCGACAAGTTCGACGCCAAGCTGAACGAGCTTTTCCAGGTAACGCGGGATTCGCTCGAAGAAACGAACGTCTCCGATAATCCATTACGATGCTTCCGGTGACCTCGGGGTGTTAATTCATTCAAGAGGCTCTCGGATCCGCGATCGCGTAACTCAAAGGCCGATAAGAGCCGCCCACGGATGAATAAATCGATCGAAACTCTCCAAAGGTTTTTTTTTTTATCAATCTTTCGTAATGTAATTTCTTTCGCTTCTGAAGGAAATAACACGATAAGGAAATGGGCGAATATTGATCGCGATGTGTAAATCAATAGTCGGATTTCAGTCTATGAATATTTCGTTATCTTGAAGTAGCTCCGGCACGCTCAGTGTACAATGGTAAACGAGCGAAATCGGAATGAGAAGCATAGATTTGCAGGAATAAAAGAAAAAGGTATAAATACATAGTTCCTCAAGGTCGCGCGACGCTGTAGAATTCGGGCGGGGGTTGGCACCGACATTTCTCACGCGTAGTCCGGTGTATCAACGCGACCTTGTTCGCGCGCTAATATCAACGCGGTTGCTCTCGGCGGGCTTTGGGTTACACGATTACCGGACACTCGGCCGGCACCGACGTCGCTCGTTTCGCAGAAAAAGCTGCAGGTCGACACGGCGATAAATCAATTGAAGTTGCGTCACCTCCGCGGCCGGGCGCGCAACCTGGCGCGGGTCGAGGCGCTGAGGGAGGACGAGCGTGTGAAACGCGAGATAGCCGAAGCGCGTCGGCACGGCGTCGCGTTGGAGGAGAACGCGCGAACGCTCCGCGAGGTGCACCAGGACATGCAGACGCAACACGACGCCCTGTGCGCCCGTGAGAAGACGATGGCGCGGATGCTGCTTCAGGAATTCCCCTCGTTGTCCAAATTCAACCTCGAGCTGCTCGAGAGTCACTACCGGCGACGACCGAAGGTGTCCCTGAAGAACGTCGCCGCTCACGACCTGGTCAGCTTCGGACGATACCTCACGGGTCGCGCGAAGCCGACCTACTTGCCGGCCGAATGCGTGGAGTACGCGAGGAGCCTCGAGAAGAACCTGGACGTGCGGCCCGGCGCGTTGCCGAAATCGCTCCACGCGGCTCACTGGGACCACCTGGTCCGGGCTCGTCGGCAGAAGATCGAGCTGGAGCTGCAGATCAAGGCGCGGCAGTTGGAGGTGTTCTCAGCGGAGCGGACGATCGCGGAGTTCGACGGCAAGATCGACGCCTGGAAGTCCCGGGTGGATCAGCTCTGCGGCAAGCTCAAGCGGATGAGGGAGCAGCGGGTGGCGCGCGAGCAGGACGTCGAGCTGCAACTGGTGCTGAAGAAGGGTCAGGTGGAAATGGAGCTGCGGGGTGAACGAGGCGATACGGAGGACGCCGTCATGGTGCCGTACCTCGAGATCGAGAAGGTCAACGAGCACATCCTCGCGGCGGGCTCGCGCAAGCTGAACGCTCTTAAGCGAAACGTCGATCTCCGCCAGAGTATATTATCCGCCGAGTGGGAGCACCGTTGTCTGAGGACGCGCTTCCAGGAGCTGGAGGAGGACCTGCGCTTCCTCAGGAACGTCACCGTCACCAAGGACATGCAGGCTTACCTGAAGAGGGTGGCGAGAGGCTGGCGTGACGATAAGACGCCGGAGCACCTCCATCGAGAGGTCGAAACCATGATGAGGTCGTTGGAGAAGAGCCTCGCCGACGAGGCGGACAAGCTGGCGAAGATTCGGGCGAAGATCGCGTCCGTGAAGAAGAAGAACGCCGCGCTCGACCGAAGTATCACGGAGATGAACATGGCGCGCTGGAAATTGGAGTATCAACGAGATCTCACGGCGGAGGCGAAGCAACGCGAACACGTCGACCGGAAGATGCGACTGTACAAGCGGCGGTCCGAACTGGTCGGGAAGATTCAAGACAATTACACGGAGCTGCTGGCGTTGCAGACCGAACACGAGCTGCTGCGCCTAAGAACGTATCCTACGTTGGAGTTCCCTCAAACGTCGGACGATGGGGGAGAAATCAATATTATTCAAGATACAAAAGAAATGCAGGACTCGGATAATCACTTCTAATAATAATCCTTGGCAAATTGTCACTTGGATCAGGTGAATATTATTTTAATATATTATCACGCTAGAGTTTTTACCATTCAACATTAATGAACGAGATAAACCGTTGAAAACACAAATCCTCCCCTACACCGGAAGAAAGCGCTTGAAAATCCGCTTGTGGGATATATAAGGCTTATTTTCACGGGGAGAGATCAGATTGATCTCACCAGGAATCAAGTTGATTTCTGCTAAATGAACGTCTCACGAATCGACTTTTAAGCACTTCTCTTTCAGGGTAATCCGCTGTTTCTTCTTCTTCGCGTACACCCCCGTGTTATCCCGATCTCCGTCGGCTAATTTAATTAGGTTTATACAGATAATCGGCGACGTATCGGTGGTGCGGGGAAAAAAAGGAATACCGGCCACGTTCCTCGGCGCTGGTGAACCCAGCGTAATCTCGCGATCTCGCTAATTTCGCAATCTCGAGGCGGCAGCGCGCGGGGAGGGGGCCTCCTAAACTTCGCTAAATCACGATCGACGACGCGGCGCGGGATTTAATCGGCGACGTTTCGCTTACGAGCGTCTTACAAAGGACAAGCGGCAATTTGCACGGCCGGCATAAATCACCGGGCGACCCGATCTCGATACATAATGGGTGCCGCTCGCGGTCCACGCTCTTTTTCACCATAAATAACAGTACTAATAGTACACCGGCCGAGATGAATGATGCGGTCGCGGCGGCGGATCATCGGACCGCCGCAAAGTGCCGCGTACGAATCAATTTAATCTGGGAAATTCCCAGGTGGCCTCTCTCTCTCTCTCTCTCTTTCCCTCTCGCGAGGAAAGGAGAGAGTAAAAGCGAGAGAAAGGATGAGAAAAAGGAGAAGAAAAAACGGAGACTCACTCCGCGACGATTAGACGACGGCGGCGATTGGACGAGCGTCTCCTCGATATTTTTCACGACGTTCCTCCTCAGGACGACGCCTACGATCGGATACCGCGGCCCTTCGGATATGGGAGCGGTTGAGCGCGTTGTTGCGCGACAACGTAAATATTTTCGACTTACGAAGCATCCCCGACTTAATAGCGATATGATTTTTATTAATGGAAACGGCCGCGTCCCGCGGTATTACGCGGCTTATTCTCCGACGCCTTTCTTATCCGGCTACGCGGTCTGGTAGCCGCGACGCGCGCGAACAGAGAGAGAGAGAGAGAGCAACAGCGGCGATATCCATGGCAGTCGATCGATTAATCATCGTTCTGCCGCTGACGCGGACACAATGCCGCCGTTGTCGTGGAAGGAGACGAAATTGGGGTGGTGGAGTGCGCGCCGCTTTGTACGTACGCGCCTATCGAAAGCGCTCGAGGAACACGTCGCCGGTGCATGCAGAGCGTGGTGGAGAGTTCACTTCACGGTGAAAACGAGCCTTAGGTTATCGCGGTGTGTTGCGGTTTACGATGTTTGTATTTGTTATTCGCTCTACGCGTAGCTTCTCCGTCCCGCAATTGCAAAGTGGACGCGCGCTGATCCTTAAATCCTTTCCAAATAATCTCGCATTGTCACACTATGTGGGATGAGTCTTCTTACCGATATTCGATGCGATTCATTAGTGCGTAACTGCGCCTTGCGTAATAAATTGTGTATAAAATTGTATTTTACATAACAGCGTTCGCGAACGCTTATTGTTCACGTTAATGTTACAGATTTCAATACGCTATTATAACTACTATTGCGCGGTGTAATTAATATTCGGTCGACACTTAATTTGTACGTAACGCGCGGTATTACGCGGTATCCCATGTAAAAATTAAATCAATGATGCAACGTGCATGCGGGATGTGTTACGTAATCGCAGATACATATTCTATAGTCATTTGGTAAGTTCCTGCAATATCTATAACTATATTACGGAATCGTTCTCTACCCGCAGATGGATATAATTCTGGAACCATCATTCTGATATATGGATCGAAAACATTTATTTATTTATTTAATTATTCTTTGGAAATATGGGCCTTCGGAGAAAGAAGAAAGTTGCCAAGAAAACGGAAAAGCTACGGTTTGTAAAAATGATCACAGGTAAAGAACAGAATAAAAGTCACAAATCACAAATCATAACACTTAAATAATAATAGATCGAATTTTGTCGGATAAAAAAATATCTAAAGAACAAAAAATATTTATCCGGTGTGCACTAATAGTCTATTTTACTAAGTGAAGATATAGTGAACACGTAACTAACATAAATATAACTTTTTATTTAAATATAAAATAAACGCCTTCACGCGAAGCCACAGATTTAAGAGAACGTATATTCTCGTATTTGAAACCAAATTTTCTCGTCGTAAGAATATATATATCTCGGCACAAGTAAATATATTATTATTACCGAATCAATATATATATATCATTCTGAAAATACCTACTTTCACGAGTATATTCTTCATGAGATGAATCCGGGACCTTTGTCCAAGATCAAGACTTGCGGCGGGGTCCGCGCTCGCAAGATCAGCGTGAGAGCAGCTCGCGTTTACGGTGCGTGTTCGGTGCCGGCGTTCGAATCACGGGATCCGCCGCGAAAGAAGAACGGTCGTTATCGGGAGAGAGCCGGCCACTCCAATCAATGCAAATCAAATCGAGAGCCGCGAATACGAGGCGCGTAGTCAAATCAAGCGAATAAAAGCTTCATGAATGTAAAGGACCCCCTGAATGTTGGCTCGCTCGCGCGCGCTCCAGCCAATCTGGTAATGCGTCTTCGCTCTTCCTCCTCGCCCGTCGGTGGGAGGAAGAAGGGAAGAAAATATCGGCGTATCGCGCGTCACGCGCGGAAACACCGTCAGGTACTCCCGCGCTGTAATAGACATCGCGTTGAATATTGCACGGCGGGAAACGGACGCGACAACGAATCGCGGCTGATCACCTCGCGAGCGATCTCCGTTAGATCCGGACTTTTGATCCGCCTCGCGGAGTTGAACGCGCAGACGCCGGGGAGAACTGTCTTTAAAGGACGCACTTCTGACTTGAACGTCGATCGTAGAAAATTCAGCTCAACGCTGACGATTGAAATGAGAGAGAAAAGCCGAAGGTACGACGGGATAAATGTAATTCGGGACGCGGATATCTTTAGCCACGTTTCATCGGCTCCTCTTTGACACCGAGAGAGAACGTATCTCAAAAATCAAAACTGTTTATTCGGCGGATACTAATTTAAAGCGTATTTATTACGATTTAAATCCCTCCACTCAAATGTAGAATAAATAATTGAGAAAATCACGTCTCGGCATTCGGGTGAAGTATTCTCTCAGCGTGAAAATATATATCTGAGTGAATATGTTGTTAGTTCCCGTCGAATATATTTTTTCACGCGCAACTAATTATTATATATTTCGCGTGCGATTAATTATATTACATTCCGAATCGACGAGATGCGGTAGCACCACGGTCGCCGATGACCGGGTGCGCGTCGGGTGAGGAGGAAACCAGTTGCGAAGCCGACGCACACGGAGATTTCTGCTTATGGATTCACTCGGGACGATAGATATGTACATCGCTTATCGGATTTATTATCACGTTCACGCAATCATCGTCGTTATCCTTCGCGATCCGCCGAGGGATGCGGCGCCGATGAAATCCCAGGGCACAAAGTAAAACCACCTTCTCCCTTTCCCTCCCGCTTCCTCTCTCTCTCTTTTCATCATTGCAGTGCCGTATAAGGCGAGACGATTGCGAGACCCCGCGCGAGACAGGCTCGTTGGCGCAATAAAAATTTGACACGATCGTCCACATCGCCGTGGAAGAAAAACGGTCGAGCGGACGGGCTGGTGCTGCGACCAAGGGGAGAGGAGGACGGTTGACGGGGCGGGCGGGGGGCTGAGTTTACGACTTGCGCTACGCGCAGGGCGAAAGGGACGACAGCGAAACTCGTTATTATCCGACCGTACTTCTTCGTGGCGTCCGAGAAGAAGACGGCCGTCGCGGCTGTGCGCGCCGGCGATGGCAACGACGGCGACGGCGGTGGCGGCGATGCTGTCTCGGGCTGTGCACCGTGGCCGCACGGGCCACTTTCCGACCATAAAGAGACAAAGGAGCGTTCTTCTCTCTTACCCCGCGGAAGGCAGTAAACTCTCATTTTCGCGAAAGAAAAAAGGCGGCTGGAAGCGCGCGCGCGACTCGGACGCCGCGCGCTGCGGAACGCGCGAGGGAATCCCCTCGGAATTCCACCGCGACGGAATCTTCCTCGGGTGTATCCCGACGAGTCCGAGGCGCTCAAAGCTCTCGCGGAATGCTCGGTCATCCGTAACGCGAGCGGCGGAAATCGAGCCGCGAACGTTCCGAGACACGTTGTGTTTTTGTCCCCCGCGAATGCGCTTTTCCGCGTGTTCCGGAGTTCGCTCGACGCATCGCGAGCTGCGCGTACACCGAGGAAAATGCTCGATCATATCTGATAATCGGATGATCCAATGCGAGGTCTGCAATGATTTTGCTATACTTCAGTAGGGAAGATCTGATCCCAAACGCGCTCGCGGAGAGCTCCGGGGTGAAGTAAATAATAATAAAATTTCTGCATAGATCAATTCTTATTCCCCCTCCCTCGAACCCCCGTTTGAAACCCCCTGTCCACGCCCATATACCACATAATTTAACTGAAATCCCAGATCCAATCGGAAATTCAGCAAACAGATGCGGACTGAAAAAAAAAATGCGTCTTTGAAGGACCGAGTGGATTTCTAATTACTAACACTTCAACGTGAAATTGCGATTCTTAACGCGGAAATTCCGAGCACGTGTATTCTTCGAAGCAGATACCGCGGGATCTCTCGGCGACTCGCTACGGTTAAACACGGCATATTGTAGGATCGGCGGAGTGTGCGAGACGGCGTTTACGGTGCGCGCGTGCTTCGAGCGCGCTCTCGGCAAGCGCACGCATGCATAAGACGGGGGAAATAGCACTCTTATTCCCGTCTCGGTCCCACGGGTGGACTCTGCCTCCCAAAGCGTGACGTTAATCCTCCGTAAGCTG